TGTTCCTGGAGACGTTTAGGGTGTGGGAGGGCCGATCTACCTCTCGAAAGTAGATCATATTTTGTATCTTGCTTGTGTTTTCTTTTGATTGTTGTAAGAGCTGCCCTTATTTGTGTTTTTCCACTTATCTATTGTGATTTTGTCGTGGCTTTTTCGCTGTTTTTGGTGTTGAGGCGTATCGGCATGATTTTCTTGCCATCTTAAAATGTGACCTTTGCTGTGAATTTTGTTGGTTGCTTCGATCACTTTTACGAAATTTTATGGGTTTTTAAATAACTTGGGATCTCAAGCCTTTCCAAAAAAACACAATCTACTTTATTTTGAATAGAGTTCTAATTGGATGTATTATTTATTGTACTATTTGTTAAATTATTTCTAAGTACAGTAATTGCAAATTTGAAGATTCCCCGAAAAATAATATTTCTTACTTCCTTGGAAAATAGTGAATAATTGTTAAAATTATGCATTTTTTACCTGTGAAGTATTGTGTTCATGTTCATGTGCATCTTCTTATATAAATCAGTATTTAAGATCATAGATTTTAAAATACCATACGGCAGGACCTTAAGCTTAAAGCAAAAGGACATGGCCAAACTATCTGGTCTCTCAACTGGCTTTAGCTATTATTTCTGAATAAATTTATTACTAATTGGAAGACTCCCCGTAAGATAGGACAGTCTAAAAAGATTGGATCTGCTGTTTTATGGATACAAGCGTTGAGTTAGAAACTGTGAACATATCATCCATGTTCCCTAACTGAGTTAATCAGACATCTTATTTAATCGATTGACACTTTTTTTTGGTGTAATTTTATGCTTCTAGATTCTATACTGACTTGTATTTAGTAAACACAACCTTGCAAACTTAATAACATTTTACATTTTGCAATATATCAAAAATCTTTTACATACCACACAATTCTCATAAATTTACATATCTAACACCCAAATTGTAAGGTTTACACGCGTAGCACTCGAATTTTTATTATCAATTTAAAAATACCACTATCATCTACTTTTAAGAAGTGAAATACTCATTTTCATGCATGGGTTTATCACCCCAAGTGGGTGATAAATGCAAATATAAAAGTTTACATGTTAGTTTTGTAAATATAAAATAATTGAATGGTTTGTAAATTTCCCTTTTCGTTCATTACCCTTACTGCTATTAACAGGTAAGAATGGAGCTTGTGAAGCAGTGGCTACCTGTGCTGAATGTTTGCCGGGATGTTGTTTGTGGGACACCATCAGAAGTTTACCAGGATCTGGAAGAAACATTTTTGCAAATAATATCCACCCTCCCTATTCCCGATGCTCAAACTCTACTGCAAGAGTGCCTTTGCTTCTCTACCCGCAACAACGTTGACAGTTGCCCCCACCTGGCCCAAGCTTTCGCTACTTGGTTCAGGAGAGCAAACAGAGCTTAATGATTCTACAGGCTGAGCCGAGATCTTTCCATGTGATCTTCTAAAATAATCTGTTTGTTTGTTCATATTTGCATCTTCACCCCTCCCCATCAGGTGTTGGTAAATGACCTTCTTTTGTAGGCTCATTGTACAAAGCTCTGTATAAATTTACTTGGTGGCTGCACAACTTTCATAATTTTGTTTTAAAAAAAACGTTCATATTTAGTTCCGTTTACTGAGTCCAGTTTCTGTGTGACCAGACTAAGCACAAGCAGGTGGAGGTTTGGGAGATTTATTGGCAGAGAAGTTCTCGGAATGCAGTTTTTGTTTTTATGCCCTTTTTTTCTATTATGTTCAGAAAAAAATGTATTTAGCGTTAGCTTTCTGAGGTGTGCAATTTGCACAGAATGGCGGCATTGATATTCTTATTTGAAGCCGACCAAAAATTGAACATTAGGTTCGGGAAATTTATTGGCGGAGTTCTAGGAATGCAGTTTTGTTTTTGATGTCCCTTTTTTTTCTATTATCTTCAGAAACAAAATGTATTTAGCGTTAGTTTTCTGGGGTGTGCAATTAGCACAGAATGGCGGCATTAATATTCTGATTTGAAGATGAGCCAAAATTGAAGGTTAGTTTTCAGACTAAACATTTCTTTTCTTCCAATTTATTCCCTAAACCCTATTAATATGCATTTATATCTAAATCCTATAAATATACACGTTTGCAGATTGCTGGTGCCAAGTATCTCAGTACTGAACCGGCATCAAAACTGCAGGAAGAGACATTTCAGCTGCGTAACCCGAGTTACAGGTACAACTTGACCCTGGCTTCTAGAGTAAATGTTCTTTCAAGTGCCATAAATATTAGATTTTTGCGTTTAGTATAAGAGAAATAAAAGGAAATATGATAGAGCAATATATTCGTTCTATATTCATAATTTTTTATTCATCTATCATTTTGTTCATCGAGTAATAGACCATTCTTGAAAATGACGCATTAAGAGACGCCATCAGTGAACAATAGGGGTGTATTTGTTGCACGTTGGCTTTGCCTCTACTCATACATAGGAACATGAGACATTGTTATATGTCAAAAGCACACCTATTACATGGGAGTTATTATGATGAATTAATACTTATTTATGAGCACATAACATAATTGTACATCCAAAAATAAATCTGCAAAACAACACAAGAAGAATGTAAAATTTGATTGATTAATTATATATGGTACTTATCTCAGAATGAATTTAAAAATAAAGTTGGACTCAAAACATCTTGCTCATTTTTCATCTTCCACGTGGCACCCCAACCTCACCGTATTTCCAAGCAGAAGAAACCCTACCAGCCCTGCACCGGCCACCTTCTTTCAGGATCTGGAAGCCATGAAGACCTCTTCTTTTTCTTCCTCTCCTTTCTCTTATTTTCACCGCCGTCGTCGTCAAGGCTACGGAGGAAGAGCAGATGCCCCGTAACTTTTCCGACCCAACCTCTCTTCTCCTGCCACCGCACCCCATCTTCTTGCCTCGGCTCTTCTGAGAAGATCCTCATGGACTGCGACAGCCGCTCGTAGCGCGGCAACGGCACTGAGTCGCCGTTGTGCGGCGGCAGCCAGCGGCTGCGGAGCGGAGTCGCCGTTGTGCGGCGAGAGCGAGTCTTGTAGGAGGCTGGAGCTCCTCCAACCGCCGGCAAGACCGCACAGGCTCGCACGGCTCCCCCCCCGCTCCTCGAACGGCTCCTCTGCAGCTTAAAGGCATGCCTTCCGTCCTCCTCCACCACCATGGCTTCCCTTTGGTTCGGCCTTATCGTTACGGACAAGGTAGAGCGTCTAGGTGGGGTAAAAGGGGAAACAGGGGAATAACATTATATTACATTTCTGTCCGTTGACTCTTTATTTATTTTTTGCTTTTTTATTTGGCCTCATGCATAAGTTTTATTGAGTTTACCACGGATTGCAATTGTTGCCGACTCTTTCAATCTTGCTGTAGGTTGTATAGAAGCATCGTACAAATGGAAAATTAATAAAAATATGTATAGAGACCAGCTAGTTATTATGGATTTATATATCTAACGCATACACATCAAGTTTTACATACATGCTACCTTACCTATGTTTTGATAGGGCTGCTTCACTTTTAAGGCTTGTGTGGTATAAATGTTAAAAAAAAAGGTAGATATGAATTAGGTGATTGTTTATGTAAATGCCCCAAACATTAGAAACTTCATGATTATTTAAATTGATGATTGAATTGAACTGAAATCAATTTTCATTTTATTTATATAATATGCGAAGAGCAGCGAGGTCAACTTCATTTTATTTTAGTTTTAAAAAAAAATATTAGTATCAGTAAATGCCTATTAATACGAAAATTACAAATTTTATCATAATTATAACAGCATTATATTTTTAATAATATAATATTTAATCACATTCATTAAAAAGAATAATCGCTATAATATAAAATTTGAGATTCGTAAATATTTATACCAAGAAATATATGCTATGCCAGCCTCCAACACAAGTTGATTATTTTAAATTCGATAAATTATATTTTAGTTTATTATTTTGGTTGTTATTTAATTAATAATAGTGAAACTTGAATTAATTAATCAGATGTTTAATAGAGTTATTAGCAAATAAATAATTATATAGCATAATTGATTATTAATTTGAATTCTATTAATATTATAATAATTCAGTTATTTGATTTAATTAAAATTGGAGTTGTTAATAAATTCGTGCAAAATACAAGTAATTTTATTTTTAAAGAGAGATTCTAAAAATGAAACGATCCGGCTCACTTACACCCCCAAAGAGGTGTTTTGAACACTTCAAATGCAATAAATACAAATAATAAACACACACAAATATATAATTCTTTCAAATACATCAAATCAAACAAATCCTAATCATTTAACAAATAGGAGAATGTTTCTATCATCCACATATAAAAAATATAGCACGATGACATTACATGCTGCCAAGGCAAGTTATATATACTAGTTAAATATACAATACGGCATGAAACACATTAGATGATGAAATCATAAAATAATATCAAATATAACTTTTGTAATGTATATTTTATTGATATAATATATCAATTCAAATAATGAAAACAAGAGAGAAAAGCAATATATTGCTGGCCATTTCAACTAAATTTTAAGGCTGAGTTGACATGAGTTAGGCTTCTCGCTTTTCTGCATTTGGCAACTAATTCTTAAAAAAGTAAAGCTCAATTTCACAAATTATTTTGTAATGCAATTATACGTCCAGCCAAGGAAATATTTATCAAAATTCATTGAAAAATATATAAGAGATGAAGTTATTGCAGACATCATGAGCGCATAAATTTGTTATGCTTGATAAAATCAGCAGTTTTAACCCAAGCAAAAATCTAATAATGTGAAAGAAAGCCAGCTTGAATATTCAGCTTGTTTTCGCCAACTATAGTTTCAAATTCTGTCATAAATCAATTGGTTACCCTCCATTCCCTTTTGTCCTCATACCATAATAGGCAAATCTATTATTAGGCAAATCTCAGTTAGCTACCTCATGCATAAAAGATGATCTTATGATCCTATGCAAATGAAGTTATCATTAAGGTCCTATACAAATACAAATAACTTTTGCCAGTTTGATCTAACAAACTAGAAAACTAAGTTTTGCAATACAGAAAATGCCCAAACGCATTATTTAAAGCGTGCATCCTATCAAATCAAACAAGCCATTGAAGAAGAAATGCAGTTGCAGAAATCGAATGGATCAAACTCATCTAGTACTCAGCTCTGATGCGCTTCAGGAAAAGACTAATGGATTCACTCATCTATGGTTAAAAAGTCAGCCAAACAAGCTTGGGATCAGCTCCGATCGAGTGGATGAAAAAATGAAGAGAAAATTTACATACATACCACTCAAAATCTGTGTGTTTACATTTCTAACACTAAAACTGTGATTCTTACATATATACCACATTTTCTACGCATGAAAATGTGCATTTCACTTTCTAAAGTTAAAATAGTGGTATTTTTTATGTAATATGAAAGATTTGGGTGGTATGTATGTGATTGTCATGTAATATGAAAGAATGAAAGATTTGGGTGGTATGTATGTGATTGTCCCACAAGAAAAAAATTGCCTACTCAACAGGTATGATACTGAAATATCGCTAGGATCCTTGGTATCTGCGAACAAAAGTAATAATACAATTTCACACAGTAAACATCGACTCTAATGTACTATATATTCAATGATGGAATCAAGGAGAGGCTCAACATAGCCATATGCAAAATGAAAATTTAACAATTAAATCCTCCATTTATATACATATAACCCCCCTAAATTTGGAATAAGCAAGCACTTTCGCTCATCTCACTTTAAATCTTAGTTCAACCACTATATATGTATGTCAGATTAAGATGAAATCAAGTAATCATATGATCTTCATGATGCTAATATAACATAGCAATTAGCAATGTGCAGCCTAACTCGTAATCAATATTCCAGGAGAAATAATTTCTCAAAAAAACTCCAATGAGCAAAAAACTGATAAATAAGTATGCATTAACTGGTTGATACAACTGAAATAAAGGAACAACAGTTTTATTTGCTTTGAAACGATGCACTGCCTTTTAGCATTTTCTGCTCCACATAAAGCCAGCAGGATTTGATCACAAAGGTAAGGCAAGCCCTATGTTACAATAAGACAGTAAGTTAGGACACTAGCATCAACCAATCATTTAGTATTGCTAAGCATGAAAAGCATTTGTTTAATCAATAAGATTTTAGTGCTCTTACTTTTAGTTACAAATTCACACATTAAACATTTGATTTATAAAAATTACTTTCGTCTTTTTTTTATTTTAGTTGTTGTCAATTTCTTGTTAAAATTCTTAGATGTTTTATGAAACCTGACCATAAATAACTCAATATCCTAAAATGTAGCACTAATCATTCACACCTTGAAAATAGCAAAATGGCAATGCAAATGAGCAGTCACACGTTCAACAATCTTTTCTTTAACAGTTTTAAATCCCACCATCACACATGGGGAAGAAAAGAATGGGCACAAACACACATGTGACAGAGGCATGAACACTCAAAAAATATGGTAAAAATATATTGACATAAAGAAAAAAGAAACAAAAAATAAAAATAAGAACATTGATAGAAAATCCATCTCTTTATTATTGAATAAATCAAGCCTCAAGTGATGTAGAACAATTTAGTATATAGGATTTTCTAATTGCAAATATAAAGATGGGATGCAAAGGACAAAATAAACTAAGATTAACAAACAGTCCACTAACTTTTATAAAAGATGTTTTTCTTTTTTTTAAATAAGACATTAAGAAAACAAATGAAATTGAAATGATACCGTCAGGCAAAAATTTTAAGATCGAAATGAAATCACAAAATGATTAAGATTTACACTTAAACAACAAGATTGTAGCGATCTGATCAAACCTCAATTGCACTCCACTAAAATAATCACAAAGCATGGAGATAAAGAGAATAGGATTTTAACCACCAAAGAACATCACGGTCTCAGACCAGTATAAAAAAGAATTTTCTCTGAAAGTTGCCGTCAAGCTTTGAACCAAACTCAAAACAAAATGTGCATCCAATTAATACCATGTTAGAGTAAATTTAACTTTAGTTATATATTATTGACTAAAAGCAGTGTTTATCTATAAGCAAACAAAGTGAATAAAACAAGTAAAAAGAAAAGGAATATCCTCAATTATAAGGATATAAGAATGCATAACATATCTACTCTTAATCAGTTAATAAATACTTTCCTACAATTATGTTGATCTCCTACTTCTTACTTTCCAGCAAACCTAAAGACACATGACGGGTAGTGAATTCAACGTATTATGATACTTTAGAACTTCTTTCGAAAACCTTTTGAACTTAAAACTTTATGGTAAACAAGCTGAGTAAAACAAATAAACAATCAAACATAATTATAAAAGTATAGCTACACAACACAAGATGTCTTTAGCAAATAGGAGCTTGTAAGTTATAAGCATAATTATTAATTTCTTAGACTCATTAATGCTAGCACAAACTAGTAGTCAAAGAAAATACCCCAAGCTGGATAAGAAAAGATAGGTTATGCTAATATAAAAGTGAATCGATAATAATCAAAATGGTCTCTCAACTATTTATAAAGAGTTATTTTAATCCTGAACTATGTAGACGGCTTATCCTGATTCAGTTCCCAGATTCCTTAAATAGTGATCAAAACAGTATTGAATTCATTGCATAAAATTTACTTTTGTAACAAATTTTATTTAACATTTTTATTATTTTGATTTTATTGTCACAAAAAGTTAAACTAAATATATTTCATTGCAATGAAATCAAGTCAACAAAAAAGTTAACCATTTCATGTAATCTCAAACCATAAAGAGTAGTTTCTCAAAAACCCAAATCAAGCCTAAAGCTGCATTTTCTCGTTTCAACAATCTCAGAATTCTCAATTACATCAAGCACAAAAATAACAACATTCAACCTCTAATTACAATGCAAAATCACATGTAGTGATAGACAATTCTTAATTATAATGCTATAACAGAATACAAGTAAATAAACAATCAAAGATAAACTGCAAAGAAAAACCTAAAACATAAGGAAACAGTCAAATTAAGCTCACGAACAGTGCAAAATGAGAAATAGAAGGAGACAGAAGGTTTAAATATTTACTAAAATAGAAAATTCTACATGGGAGGAAAATCAAGCAACCCATAGCAATCAAATAAGATAGGAACCAAGGAAATCCAAAAGAAAAGTAAATCATGTGAATCATAAGTGAAAGAAAGCAAACTCGAAAGTAGCAATAATGGAGAGAAACACGTGAATTTAAAAATGACCATCTAAATAAATAGTTGGCTGAAAACAATGACACCAAATAATTGCTGAAACAAGAAATCAGAAGTGATGAAACTAGGGAATCTAATGAGAACCAACTAAATCCTCTTAAAATTGAAGTAAAATATTAAAACTGACCAAAGAAACAAAACATAAGAGAACACATTCTTAAAATTAAAGCATTATTCTTAACAACATAGTAATCCAAAACAAATCAGTGATATATAAGAAAATACAGTGTAGCTAATAGCTATATTCCAACAATCGAAGGCCCACACAACCAGAGGTCTTCCGAGCACCTTAATCACACATATCGTCCAACCTACCTCTAGGAAGATTGAAAGGCTTAATTTAGCATTAGAAAATCTACTGTTCTTCAATCTCAAACTAGATCCTCTTTCTTCAATTATACCGAACTTAGAATGCTAAAACTATTGATTCACTCCATTCTCTACGAAAAAAAATCGTAACACTATCATTCCAAACAGGCGGTATCTTAAGATCTGATGAATGTGAGAAGCATCCCCAGCATAGTGAGCGAATGCATTAATACTGATTGAACAATACCATATATAACGTACCTTGAGAGGGCCAAGTCCAGCCGGAGGAATCGACGGATATGTTCGATATGAGACGAGCGGAGGCGACGGCGCTGTGGAGAGGCCTCAGAGATTCCAAAGTTGCCAGAACAGAAGGAAGCGGCCTTCGGGTAAAAGAGACACGGATCGTCAGCACAGATTAGGGTTAAAGAGAATCCCGGGGTTGTGAAAGGTGGATGCACACCTGTAGAAGCGAGGAGAAGCTAATATGGAAGGAGAGGTATTCGGGAGCAGCATTTGAGAACGGAGAGCCGAGGATCTCACGGCGGCCAATGATCGGCACAACGACGCCATTTTCGCCGTCCTCATCATCCTTCGCGGGGATGTTTGGGAGCACAATTTAACGAGTATTTAACTAAACCCTTTTGTTGTTCGGAAGCAAACTCAAATATATAACATTTTTTTTTTTTTTCATTTTATTCAATAAAATTCAAGCAAAAATAAAGAAATTAAAGAGGTCATTTTATTCAATAAAATTCAAAGCAAAAATAAAGAAATTAAAGAGGAAAAGAGACCAAAAAAATAATAAAAAAAATCAAAGTCAAATGTTGGTATAATAGAGAAATTTTGGGGGTTACAAAATATGAAACGTCCAATGAACCTCAAACGTCAAAAGTTTTGATCTCCATATTCGTTGTATTTGTCTTTTTCTGGACATGCTGAGTCGGGCCATGAATTACGTGCTTTAATCTCTCATTTTAGATATTAAAATATAATCTCTAATATATCAAAAATAAAAAAACACGTGATATATTTGAATTGACTTTCACACGCAGCTCTACATGACTTATCCGGACCGAATAATTTTTCCCTGTTTCACCTCCTCCTCCCCCTTGCGTTTCCCCCTCGCCTTAAATTTTATTAACATAAATCTTCTACTTGAATTATAATTCACCAAAATTTTGATACTTTTCTAATCCAAAAATAATATGAATAATATACGGGGAGAAGTACATACAAATCACATAATTTTATTTATTTATATATTTTTATATCTAAATCTAAGATTTTTATTGTGTGATGCCACTTGAATTAAATAAATATTTAAAAAATATCTTATAATTCTAGTCCCCCGCTCGCCCACAGGTAATGCTTCGTGTTCGGTGGAACAAGAAATACATATATGTCATGTGCAACAAAAATTAATACTGGAGCACATATAGATATAAACATTTTATAAAAAAATTATAAATTTTTTCCTTACAAAATAAAAAAATACTCAACCAAATATATATATATATAATATAAATCATAACAGTACGATTTTCTAAAAATAAAAAATAAAAAAACAAAAACAAAACAAACTAAAAATAAAATTAAAAATTAAAAAAAAACATAAAGTTTATTAGAAAATATTGTTATAATCTCTTTATTTTTTTTAAATCTACTTGACATCAAGTTTTTTTTTTTATTTAAAATTATTTAAGAGAATTATTTAAAACATTAAAATAAATGAAAATTTTACATATTTCTCAAATATTTACATATCTCACATATAAACTTTCATATTACATATATATAAATATAATACTTTGGTGTTTTAAATGTATGAAAATATATATTTAACTTTCAAAACTGAGAATTATTTTTTATGCCATATCAAATATTTGAAAGCTATGAGTGTAAACATGAAAATTTAGGTGTGAGATATATAAATATATAAAAATTGTGTGTTAAATATGCAAATGCCGCAAAATAATTTTTAGAAATCTAAGCATTTTTAAAGCCATCATAAAAAATATGAATGTTGCCAACCCCATCACACGATATTATTATTATTTTTTAGTATTCAATAAAAGTATTGCATTTAAGATATTAAGTATATTTTTACATCAAAAATATGTTAGCATTGTTTTTTGGGAAGATCTAACGGTCTAGAAGAAAAGAATACGGTGAAGGAGGGCAAACCAACAGAAGACCACGATGCCTAATTATCTGACCGAACTAAGTTGTCAAGGCAAAGCCAGTAAGAATAAAGACAATGAGAGGATACAAGCACGAACCATTTAGATAGAAAAAAAGGCAAAATGACATCCGAGACAATATTCACAGAACAGTAGATCCACGGAGGTCAAAGATCAACAGTAGAGCCCCATCAACTGGCCGACCAAAATCAACCAAACGCAGCTAATCAGGCTAATATTTGCGAATCGAAGCCAATTAAGCTTAAGAGCCAACGCAAAGAACAATCAAACGATAAACTTGTACACGCAAAATACCAAAAATATCTCAATATGGTCTCATTAAAACATGGGAAAAAATATAACATCATGGTATTATAACCTCTACTCAATAAATATGAAAATCAATTTATTAATAAGAAACGACATATTATTGTTTATTATTGCTCGCTCTTTTATCTCTCTCTCTCTCTCTTATTTACAACCTATTTTTTGGATGTGATTTACATATAAATCAGGATTCAACAATTGAAACATAAATTAAATTAAATTAAAATCAAAATAAAAAATATAAACAAATTTTCAATTTATTATATAAAGAAGAAAAATCCTAAGGAAAACGTTACAAACCTTTAAATTAGGCTAAAATATGAAAAAGAGGCAAGTGTGAATCAATGTGCGCGCTTCCATATTATGGCTTCATGTTTTGAACATATACGGCCGACCCCTCTCCAACTCCAGTAACATAGACATTGCCTTCTAACCTAATTTGAAAACTGGGCAATCAATCTATATCACCCTACTTTCCATAACTTACAGGAAAATAAAAATAAAAATCCTAGCAGGGCAAAAAGTGAGAACAATAAACAGTTCTAAAAAATCAACCACCATTACCTCACTGGGAAAATTGACATCAGACCTGCTGATACTTCTCCAACCCCATCCACATAGGATGTAGCCTTCGTTTCATTTGACGAGGCGGTGAAGTTTCGTTGGGCTGGAGCGAACACTCTCTGTAAAAATTTTTATTTGGTGAAACAAGGGGGGAGATGAACCTAGTTCTTTCACAAAAATGATAAATTTTCATCGTTTTAGAGATGAATGAGGCTTTTCTAAGCCATAATGAGAGAAAGAACAAATCTCAACCAAAACATTTGCCACATCCTCTGGGATACGAAGAGTGGCAGGCACACGAATAGGGAGCCCGCAAATGAATCACAACTCAAAAAATATAAATAAATATCTTAAAGAAGAAGAACTTTGCCTCAATCCTCAACATCAGGCGGCTCCGGGCATATCTCCTTGGAACACCTCCTGCCAGAGAAAGAATGCTCCCCGCCGCTCCCCTGCGATCTCATCGTGCCCGACCGCCTGAAAGACCTGTCTTCCCTCGCCGGCGGCCCCACCGCCGAAACCGAAGGCATATCCGACGAACTCTCCCTCCAGCTTCCAAAAAAGGCAGCATTCCACAAGCTTCTTGATGAGGCAGCTTTTAATCTAGCTGACTCTGAATTGCTGTCCTCTCTAACCACCTTCAATGGATTCTCCAGAGCTTTCAAAATGTATCTCATTAGGGGCCGTTTCGACGGCTTGGGATTCAAACAAGACTTGGCTACAATGGCCATCGCCCATACCTCCTCAATGAGGTCCTCGTCGACGATGAGCGAGGGGTCGACTATTTTGGCCACCAGTTCTTTCTCGCCGATGTTGACGAAGCGTAATGTTTGCTCTAGCCATTCCTTAGTTGCGGGATCATTTGAGCCGCTGATGCCTAGTCTGCCTGTGACCAGCTCTAGCAGAACCTTGCCAAAGCAATATACGTCATAGGACCAAGATGCAGGTGGAGGCCCTATAAGAATGGGCAAGCATATCAAGTCTATAAAAAGAGAGAGATTTGCATACATACCACTCAATTGTTATGTTTATGTATTTACATAACTAACATCTAAATTTTAATTTTTATCATATATGCCACATTATCTATATATAAAAAGGTGTATTTCACTTTTTAAAAATTAGATTAGTGGTACTTTTGAAGTGATGTGAAAGATTTGGGTGGTATAAATGTAAAAAACTAAAGTTTAGGTTTTAGATATGTAAATATATAAAAATTGGGTGGTTTGTATGTAAATGTCTCCCAAAAAAAGGGTACTGGATTTCATGAAAGTATACATACCAGAAGAGCTTTCCTCAGGTGTCCTGCAGAGCACAATGAAAAGGAACATATCAGGTCTTCAGTTTCAGGAGTAAATAATGTGTTCAGCACACCAAGCTATTATAAATCTTGACTGAAATTACATATATATATGGTCATGTTTCCACAAGTTTAACAGATTTCTATGTTTTGCAGGGAAATGCAAAGATAAGATTGAACCTCAATTCTAATTTGAATTACGTTGAGATGGAAAATAGGTTAATAGGAGGACATGATAAGCTTTATGAAGTTGTTTGCACATCATTTCTAAGGTAATTTTACATATCAACCATCCAAAATTTTAGATATAATTGATTGATACACCAAACTTCAAATTTTACATTTCAACCACCCAAAACTTTAAATATAACGGATTGACATCTCCTGTTTCAAAAGGAAATAGATTTTTAGGTGGTCAAATCAAAAGGTTATATTTAAAGTTTTGAGTGGTTGGTGTGTAAAACAAAAATGAAAAAAATTTATAGAAGAGTTAAATAAGTTTAAAGACAAAGTAAAAATAATCTTTTTTTTTTCTATTTCATTTATCCACTGATTATGATAAAAGGAACTCGCCTTAAATTGAACATAAAAAAAAAGTGAAATTATATTTATTTCCTCATGAATAAGATTGCGAAACTCCTACTTGAATTTGAATCCCTCCTCACATTTGCAACAATCCTACTCCCCTTATTAGCTGGCCTTGAGTTTGTAACTTCCCGCCAGTTAATGTTTCATAAAATTCAACTCTTTAATTTGAGTTATATGTAACATCATCCATTTGAAAATATGGATGATCTCCTTTAGTCCTTCCAAGTAGCTTATGAATTTTGAAAAAGCCTCTCCTAAACGAGCTAGCTTAATTAAATAAACTAACTTGTATACTTGATGAAATATTTACATTAATTATACTTTTTATATGATTAATGATGTATATTAATTAGTTTCCTATTATTTGTGATTTTGTAATAGCTCTTCCTAGAGTTTCATGTGCTTGTCTTGCATCACATCAGCATTATATTTTAGAGCCCTAGATGCCAACCACACAATTACTAATAATAGGGAGAATTTGTATCAGCTGACAGGACCTTACACATCTAATGACAACCGCCTTGTACTCAAAGCAACCCAAAGCTCATATTACTGTGACTATATGTTCATACTTAAAGATCTAAAACCGATGAGGAGCCGGAATGTGCCTATTGACCGAGTTGATGACCTAATTGTAATGGCGTCACTATACAATGGAAAAGACTCATGCCTAGATGTTTAATAAGAGGCTGCTAAGCAGGGTATCTAGCTTGATTGTGACGGCATGCTTATATTATGGTTAAAGAGCGTGCAATTTACTTGGTTGGCAAGCCTAATTTTGAGGTCTCACTATATTACAGTTAAGACCATGTATGAAAAATCCTCATGATAATACAACTCTTTAAGTTGTAAGCCATACAACACTGGTCAGCCATGAAATTGACATCTTCTAAAAGCTTTCACTATGATCTATAAGGCTCCCTTAGATGAAACAGCTCATAGCTACTAATAAAAATCCTCTTGTTATATTGAGTCAACGAACATCTTTGGCATCATAAAACAAGGTCCATTAGACTCGGGATAATGAACTATGAGTCGTTTGCTGAGTTTATCATCATTTTTCCCATCATCTCCTTTGAGCACATGAACAACAACTTATCTCTAGATTTTATGGGAATTAATTACATCAATTCTTCATAGAGCTTGAATATTAATTTTAATTAAAACATCTCTATTGTAGGTGATGGATAGTTAGATATGGGGGCTTATGCCCATGTGAAACCTCTAACCAGAAATATAGTCTTACAAAAAAGGATGAAATTTTTTAAAAGTGCTTTCTCTATACTTAAACTGACTCCTGAAAATACTCTTTACTGCTACATAGGAACCAGAAGCTTCTAGACCCCTCAAGCAATGCCATAACTAATAGTTGCATAATATTGGGGTGCTAGGACCACTTCAACTAACAAATTATAACGGTATTAAAAGTATTATCGTTGCATTGCTTGATTAAGCCACTGACTCATCGCAAGATGCATCTTACAAAAACATGCTACCTGGATACTTCTAGGATCAATTTGATCGCCGATAACCAATCATTACAGAAAGTGAAGCACCATGATTTAAGCTACATAGGACTTAAATAATTTTAAGAAAGAGTAGGCGACTTAAAGAATTGCAAAGATCAAGTATAAGATTAGGACACTCGGAGTGTACGATATGATAAAGTACAATCATTTGAAAAAAGTAAGGGGTTGTTTGGGATCATTTTTATTTTTTTATGTTTTGATTAAAAAAAATAATGTTTGGTATGTTTGATTAAGATATGGATTATTTTGAAAACACCAAAATACCCAAAAATTATTTTGAGAGTTTTCAAAAATATTGTAATTTAATTTTAGAAATAGAAAATAACTATATGTTAAAAACACATTAAACAAACATATTTTTAAAAATAAATAAAAAAACAAAATTGATCTCAAAAAAGCCATAAACTTATGAATGCAGAGCAATACAAATCATTTGCAGACATAATAAATATTTAGTTGGGGAAGTACAGATTGAAATCATATTTGTATGATATAATGATAGAATCTCAGAAATTGACCATAATATATAGATTTCGAATAGTTTTCCTCTGGAGTAGAAAAGATATAAACTTACTGTGACTTTCGCAAAAGCCTGGAAATGACATTCTGGTGGCCATCCACTTCCTGAGCACATGCATTGCTTAAGCTCCCAAGACGTACTTCAAATTTATCATCGAGAAGGATACTTCTTGCTTGAATATCTCTACAAACATGGAAAGTTCAACCCTAAATTAGTCTCTAGGTTTCACAGTGTAAACCTATTTGAGAAAAGTCCTGCAATTTGAGACTACCATATGCACTTATACACACAAGAAGGTAATCACAACAAAGTCCATGCATAAGCTTGAGGTATAAGGAAACTTATTTTTTGTACATCAGTTCGTTATGGTTTGGATTCATTTATGCATTCAAAAATATTGCAAAAGAGGCAACTAATAAGCAGAGCCATCCCATTGCTCATAACTCCTCTACTTTACTGATCGAGATGAACCAAACTTAGCAGCGTTTACTCTATGACAATATCACATAATCTGAAAATAAAACTGTAGGCTCAAGTGTCCTTGGCTATTTACAAAAGTAGGAAACTCGATAATTTGATTAAACTTGCCAGAAAATTTATACAGATTAACAAGCACAAATTTTCAGAGTTGAATTTATATTTGTCTCGAGAAAAAATTACTCTAGCTAAACAATAAAAATAAATAAAAATCCTTCTTGCCAAGTAATAGCCTATGATCCCAGTTTTAAACAAGTAACTCCCATTTGCATAATGCTTTGTAAACATAAAAAAAAATCTAATAATCAAATGATTAACCAGAGAATTTGGTTGGTAATTGTGAAGACTTATAGTGACATAGGCCAACAGGCAAAAATTCAAAAGGACGCATTAATAATTTTTAGGGGGGCAGTTACATATATACCACCAAATTCCTATGTATTTATATATCTAACACCTAAACTTTACTTTTTAGATTTATATCACCCAAATCATTCGTCTCACATCAAAAGTACCACTATTTTAACTTTTAAAATATGAAATACACCTTTTCATGCATAGGTAAGTGGTATGCATGTAAAAATTGAATTCTAGGTGTTAGATATGTAAATATATAAGAACTGAGTGGTATGCATTTAAATCTAACAAATTTTTATTGGCTAGCTTAATGTGAAATGGCCATATACACAAATGCTATAGAAATTATCAGAGTAAACTTTAATAGTTAAGACTGGATCACAAAAAATAATGATCGCAAAAATAAAACATCAAGTTTTATTATAGATCAAAATCCCCTCAAGCCAACAGACAGATTTCCATCAAAGAGAGGAAATTTAAGAGCTGGTCCTATCCTAAATTAGGAGACAAATTTTTTATGCAAAAATATATCTCTGAATGTGAACGAAGCATTTAAATCAACCTAAATTTATTTACAAGAAAATGCTGGAAAGTGAAATATAAGTACGTTGAAAACCAGTCAAACATCCATCCTAATGTGACAGTTACCATAGCAAAATCATCAGCACACCGCCCATTCACTACACGAAAACCATTACATGCTTTATTTCTTTGAAAGCAAATCTTAACAAAAACTGAAAGAGTGACATAAACTGCACTAGAATTTACGAATTCATGCCCAAAAAGAAAGTTACACTTAAGCGAAAATCAAAACAACAAGAATACTAAAGAATGGAGCATTTTGAGTTGTAGAATTCAGTTATCTTGGAGGCTAGAATGGGAATGGATGGCAATGTCTGGTGGGAGCGAGTTTGTTCAACATTTTACATGAATAAACAATACTAATAGGAAGAACCGTGAACAATTAGTTCTACTCTCGCACCCAAATGTATTAATAAAATATGAAATAAATCCTCCAACTGAAACCAGTAGTCAAAATTCATGGCTCTTTTGTCTTTCTACCTACCTTAATGAGAAATTAATACTAACAAAACAATGTACATTCAATGAAATTTTGCTTTACCACACCCAACAGCACTATGCTTTACGTGACTACCATAATGGTAATATCTCCAGTATTCTTTTTTCTTTTCGACTTCTGCATTATAACAGAACAAATGCCAAATTCACCCCTTTTGTATTTAATAACTTTTTATTAGGTAAAACCTACTTTTATAAAAGGAAAAATTGACATAAAAAACAGATAACGGTAAACGAAAAATATCTTCGGGGTTTTTGTAACTTCAACAAAGTTTTCATGCCTAATATGATTCACGATTGCTTTCAAATGTAATTTTGGAGGCGTTCCACAATGTTTAGATGAACCTACCCATCCACATAATACTTAAACTAGAACATGTGGAATCATCACTCTTTAATTTCTGACCCAATAATTTCAAAATTACCATATTTTCTTATGCTATGTTTTACATTTCAAAATTACCATATTTTGCCTTTAATTGTCCCGCTCTACATTTTAAACATTCCACATCTACTCTAAAAGTTAGTAGGTATTTAAGCTAATGCCTAGAGATAAGGCTAATGCTGAGATGGAAGTTAGTGGCGAATGCAAGGATTGCCTTTATTGCAAATTGTTTTCTTGCTTCAGGGATTTATTAAGGAATGTACCAAGAAAAAATCAACTAAAGAAAACATTATGGATCAAATTCTATGTTTTAACAAGATTATCAGATCCTATGTCTTAGCAAGAATATGGACGGGGAGAAAGATAATTGTGACCTTTCTATGGAAACAAGTCTAGGATATAGAAAAGAAATTATGATATAGACATGAACTTTCTAAGAAAAGAGGAAGACGGATATAGGAAACAGATTACTATGTCCCAGCAAGAAATAAAGAAGCATGACGTTTCTATAAAAACAAATCTATGATATAGAAACAAAAAATTATTCAAATCAATCAAGCATTAATTCTCTGTCATAATATCAAACTCTTAAAAAATTGTCAACCGTTATTCTATATTTGGAATCCGAAAGTTGGTGAAATAAATAAAGAAATCGGACGCCAGAAGGTGTTTTCCCTAGCATGCGCATTAGTTTATGAAAGAAACAACGAATTGAGCATTATAGTTGATGCCGTCACGTTATAAAGTATGATTTTTTATTCATTCATTTGAAAATGGGTGATTCGGAAAAACATAAGAATAAAAATACGCACAGAAGAGAAATTAGAAAAATACCTATGAACCAACGGTGGCACACAATCATGATGCAGATAGCAAAGACCCTCTGCCGCACCTGTTGCGATCTTCAACCTGGTTATCCAATCCAGTGATTGTAAACCCTCATCTTCCTGTGCGGCCTTTCTATAAAACGCAGTAGCTAAGTCACGATGAGGCATTAGTCTATAAACAAGGAATATCTCATTCTCGTTCTCCAAACAATGCCCCACAAAAGGAACCAATCTCTCATGCGATAATCTGGCAAACAAATCCAATTCCACCTGACAAGCTTCCCTCTTGACACTGTTCATGTTTATCCTCTTCACGACCACACGCCTCCCATTTTCCAAAATTCCCTGGTAGATATCTCCCGACTTTCCATGTTTGATTAGGTTCCCCTCACCAAAATCCGAGGTTGCATGCGCCAATTGCACAAATGTGAAGACCTCTCCCACAGCTGGTAAGTTGATAGCAACTGCAGGAAGTGGTTCCTTGCCTCCTTCAGGAGCAGCTGGAGCAGCATTCGGACTCACCTCCCTCTGATCGGATGAATGGCTTCTGCACCACCAAAAACACAGCAACAGACAAATTACTGCAAACACTAGAAGGGCCGTTCCTCCAACAACTGCTGCCACAATATACTTCCAAGTGTTCTTGCTTTTGGATGAGCTAGGAGGTGAAACTGGATTCCCAGGAACATCATAAGTCAGCCCTCTCTCCTTATAGAATTCCTGACAGTCAACCCGGCTTCTTTGGCTCGAAGTATTCTGAAAGCAATTTGATTTAACAGATAAATTACTTCCAGTACTACTGGGGGGCACAGAACCTTGCAAATAATTATCTGATAGATCCACATAATTAAATGTAGAAAGCAATACTGCAAAACCAGAAGAGATAGAACCATACAAAAGATTATGCGATAGATTAAATGAGCCACGGCTGTTGGAGGCACTGGAATTGGTCGCAGGCAGCGCTGGCAGACTGCCCGTAAAGTTGTTGTAGGAGACATCAAGATACCTCAACTTCGATAAAGACCACAATGAATCCGGGAGCTCGCCAGAGAAGTTGTTCCGGCTCAACGTAATTGACTCGAGCCGTGTCATACTGGTGAAGAGGCTTACCCCTATAGAGCCACGGAACAAGTTGCTACCCAAGTTTAAATTCCGCAAGCTCCCAAGCTTGTTCAATCCATCAGGTAATGTCCCGAACAACGAATTGAAGCCGAGATCGAGGATGACGAGGGAAGAGAGATTGCCTAGCTGCTGGGGAAGGAAGCCGGTTAGATTGTTTTCGGCGAGCATCAGGGTTTTCAACTGACGCAAAGACCCCATCTCCGATGGTATACCGCCGGTAAGCGCGTTTTGAGAGAGGTCGAGGACGGAGAGATTCCTCAATTGACTAATGGTTTGGGGGATGCTACCGGTGATGGAATTCTCCGCGAGAGAAAGCACGGTTAGATTGCCCGCGAGGATATAAGGTATGTCCCCAGTTACGGACGCGCGCCGAAGATCAATAACAGCAATCGATGTGGGAAGCAGGCTGCCGAACCATTTCGGAATGGGGCCCGGAAGAGCAAACCCAGTAGCGTTGAACGAAACCAGCCGTGTCAGATTCTGAATCCCTTCGACCGCGAATCGAGGGTTCCGGCGAGCGAGCCGCGTCCGCCGGAGCCCGTAGAGGTTAACCGAAACCACCCGCCCGCCGCCGCCGCAAGCCGACTCCAGCCCAAGAGGAGCACGGGTCAGCCCGGCGCGGCCAGTCGCGCGCACGGAGGCCCAGCGAAGCTCTGAGACGGAAGAGGGCCGCAAGATCCACAGCAGAGCTGAGGTTCTGCCCGGCGGAAACAGTGATTAAGAGGGAAGTGAGTGCGAGGATGAGAAGCCGGGGGAGTATGCGGGTTGGCATGGCGTGATAAAAATGGCGATCGGACTCAGCGCCGCCGGTATCGCCGGACTTCCGCCATTGCCGTTGACCGGATTTCTGGTGAATTATGGATTGGGAGTGATTGGATGAATTTGGAGGGAGGGATTGGGAAAATTCATCAACTGAGTTTGGCTTCAGCCCTCTCCCGGCGGAGGAGAGGGAGAAGAAGTGGGCAAGACCTGTTTTCAAAGATTTGTATTAATGAGCAAAAAGGAGCCTCCAACTGTCCCCACGGTAGCGAAAGATGAAACAGAAATTAAGCAGAAATAAAAGAATAAAACAAACATATATTAAAAGCAGGTTTTCTCTATAAAAATGGGAACATATATATATATATATATATATATATTAAATTTTTTTTACATATAAAAATGATTTATTCAAGGTATTTGACAAAAGTTATATTTTTAAAGTGAATTTTTAAACAGTTGACCGAACCCTTTTGATTGAAAGTAATAAGGTTCTATTTGCTGCATTGACTTTGAGAAGTGAGGTCGTTATGGTGGCCATGTTTGTTTATTCACGAAAGCAATCGAAAAGCTGTTGTAGGAAAATATAAATAAATAAATAATACAAAAATATTATATATTTTTCACTCTTTTTCTGATGTGTTTTATTAATATATATTTATGCCTAAATATAATCATGTATTTAAAGGAGGCTTTTTGAAGAGCACAACTTACAAGTCAAAAAGTGTTATATACTTTAAAAGGTAATATATGAAGATCAGGTCGTCCTAGAGTAAAGCCCACCTGTCAATATGATCAAGTTAGCTCACCTGCCAAAGTATTCGAGCTAAACCTATCAGCCAAAGTGACCGAACTAAAATTACTTGCAAAAGTAATTGTGCTAAGTCCACTTGTCAAACAAACAAGCTGTTGTAATATATATATATA